CCTCCCTTAGGTGGTCAGAAGAGAGGGCCCAGGCAGTAACCCGAGTCAAATTATGAACTCTGAGGAAGGACAGAGGAGATCTCACAGAGGTTGGGCCATAGTGTCCAACCAGGAAGATCGCTGGGGGGCAAGGAGATACGAAGCAAGTCTGGACTTCAGGTTCTGGGTCTCAGAGAGTGAGGAGGTCTGGTGTAAGGAGCAGGGCCTCTAGTTGGCAGACAGGGCGGGGGCGGGGGAAGGAGGGCCAAGGTTCTGTCAGGAGTCAAGGTGAGGACCAGAAGGAGGAACGAGGGACCCTGGACCCAGTAGGGAATCAGTCCTGGGAGGCCCCAGGGTGGGACAATGATGACATGAGGCATGCCCTGACTTGTGCTCTGGGTCCCAGAGACACTGAGAGCTTGTTGTGAGGAGTGGCCCTCAGGAGCAGGCATGAGGGCACAGGCCATCCAGGGAGTCCAGATGGGGAACAGAGGATAGGGCTAAGGGACCCGAAGGACCCATCTCAGGGAATCCCTGGACTTTGTAGCCTGATGTGACATCCACAGTCTTTTCCCATGGCTCTCAGGGCAGTGAGGGCTTTGGTCTGAGGAAACAGGCCTGGAGACAGCAGAGAGAGGATCCCCAGATGTGCTGCGGCTCATGTTGAGATCCCTGAGGGAGGACTCAGGGAGGGACCTGGACTCTAGAACAGGGACAACGCACTGAAGCCTGCCCCTGCTGTCAGCCCTGGGAGGCCTGTTTGTGCCAAGTCCACAGGCAGTGTGTCAGGACGTCCGCATCCAGGTCTGACAGAGGCTGGGGGCCTGGTTTAAAAAACGGGGGCCAGGAGCTAATGGGACTGTATGTGAGGACCCGGCGGGAGGACATGAGTGACCCTGGACCCCAGAACAGAGTCAGTCCTGGGAGGCCCCTGAGCGGGAAGAGGATGAGTGGCGTGTCCAGACTTCCACCTCGGGGTCTCAGAGAGGCTGGGGGTTGGGGTAAGAGGCAGATCCTCAGGTCAGCAGCAGGGAGGGCTCAGTTCCTGCTGGAATCCAGGTGAGAGCCCTCAGGGAGAACTGAGGGGACCCTGGACCCCAGAACAGAGTCATCGATGGGAGGCCCTTGAGCAGCTGTCCGCCTGAGTCGCACCCCCGAATTTGGCCTTGGATCTCAGGGCTGTGCGGGGTGGTCAGAGGGGAAAGGACTCGGGACAGCAGAGGGCAGGGCCCCAGGTCTTGTTGGAGACCAGGAGGGAGGCAGGCTGAGAGTTGAGGACCTTAGAGCCTGAAACAGACAATGATTTTGTTGCCCTTGGGGTCCTTCTTTGAAGTCCCCCAAGGTGGGGGAAGCAGCTGAAGTGTTTCCTGACTTCTGCACCCAGGGTCTGAAGGAGGTGAGCCTTGGTCTGGGGAGTGTGGCCTCAGGTCAGCAGAGGGTAGAGTCCCAAGACCCTGAGGGAGGACTGAGCAGACCCCCACCCAGACATAGGGGACCCAAATGAAGTCCTGCCCCAGTGATCAGTCCTGCAAGGCCAGGCCAGGTGTCAAAAGTAAGCACCCCACTTTCTCCTCTGGGTCTCAGCAGGATGGTGGCCTCAGCCTGCAGGATGCATCCTGTGGTTAGGAGAAGGGATAGTTCCAGGTCCTGCCAAAAGCAAACATGAGCACCTTGAGAACAAAGAGTGAACTCCCGCCCCAGGACAGAGGGGCCAACCCGATCTCATCTCTTTGTGAATTGGGTGGGATGCAGGGGGAGGGTTTGGACTGCTGCCTCCTCACCCTCCTCTCGGAGCTCTCAGGGAGGTGAGGACCATGCTGAGAGAGGTCGGAGTCAGGTCATCTGGGGAAGCCCACCTGGGAGACACACAGGAGTCCTTGCTCCTGCCAAGAGTCAATGTGGGGACCCCCGAGGGAGGAGTGAGTGGCTCCCAACCCACCCCTCGGGACAAGGAGGAAATGGCCCAGAAATCTGGCCAGCCCCTACCAGGCAGCCCTGGGAACGCTGGGCGGGGCCTGTCAGGCTGAGCCCCTCCTCCCTTCCAGATCCCTGGTCTCAGGGAAGGGAGGGCCTGGGCCTGAGGGTCTGGACTCAGGTCAGCTGAGGAGGCAGGTGCCTTAGCTCTGGCCCTGGCTCTGGCCCTGGCAGGGGGGAAGGTGAGAAATGAGGGGATGTCTCCCACAGCAGGATCCTTAGGGCCCAGGCCTACCCTGCCACTTCTGCCAGCCATGGGGAGATGGGGCATCGGTGGGCCGACTGATTTCTCCTGACTGTTCCTTATGGTGTCTCCCAGAGATGAGGTCTTGGCACCAGGAGGGTAGCCTCAGGTCAACACAGGGAGTTTTCCCAGGTCTTCTGTGGGGTCAAGGTATAGACAGAGAGGCACACCCATCCCAGCACAGATGGAACCCCAAGCTTGGCCATCCCTAGAGATCCGTGATGAGCCTTTAGACCTTCGGCAGGCATGGGCAGAGGTGGGCCCCCTCGCTTACCTTCTGTGGGGTCTCAGGGCTGCGCAGGCTTGCTGTGACCCTGTGGCCTCAGGCTACGGGGGTGGGGCCCAGGCCCTGCCAGGGGAAATAGCAGTCCCCTGAGGGGCCAAGGAGGGGACCACCCAGCTTCGACTGATGGGGACCTCACAGAGTCCGCCCCAGCCCTCCTGTGTGCACTGGGCTTCTGCGGCCATGCTCTATGTCTGCACCCCGAGGTGCTCCCTCCTTCCCTCCTCCAGGGGCTCCAAGAACTCAAGTCCAGGCCTCTGTCTGAGGCAGGAGTCTCTAAGGTCAGAGAGCAGGGGAGGTGCAGGTGAGTGCCAGTGGTCAAGGTGAGGTACATGCTCTGAGCATGGAGTCAGGGGCTCGCCCATCCCGACACAGAGGGGACCCCTCAGCACCCAAGTCCGACGCAGCGCACTGTCAGCTCTGGGACTTCAGGCCTCTGCTGCCTGGGCTGCACCCTGAGGAGCCGTCCCACCTCTTTCTTCAGGTTCAGCCCGACACAAACGCCATGCCCCTGGGTCAGAGGAGTGAGCTCTGGAAGGTGGAGGAAGACCCAGGAGAGGCCCAGGGCCTGGTGGAGGCACAACTGTCCAGGGCTGGGGAGGAGGAGCCCCCATCTCCTCCCTCCTCCTCCCCTTCCTCCTCCTGCTCTGTCCTGTTCCTGATTCCCCTGGGGGAGGGGTCTGCTACTGGGTCCCTGAGTCCTCCCCAGAGCCCTCAGAGTGCCTGCCCCTCCCCTGCTGCCCTGGCAGCCACAGCCTGGAGGCAGCCTGACCAGGGCTCCAGCAACTCCGATGAGGAGGGGTCGAGCACCTGGGAGGAGCCGGAAGTCACCCAACCCTGTCTCCAGGACAAACTGCACGTGAAAGTGGCTGCCCTGGTGGTGTTCCTGCTCCTCAAATACTGCAACAAGCAGCCGACCCGCCAGGCAGAGATGCTGGAGATTGTCAGCAAAGATTACCAGGACGACTTCCCAGTGATCATGGGCCAAGCCTCCGAGTGCCTGAGGCTGGTCTTTGGCATGGATATAAAGGAAGTGGACCCCAGTGACCACTCCTACGTCCTGGTCACCGTCCTGGGCCTCACCTGTGATGGGATGCTGAGCAGTGAGCAGGGCATGCCCAAGACCAGCCTCCTGGTGCTGCTACTGGGGGTGATCCTCCTGGAGGATGACTGTGCCTCTCAGGGGGAGGTGTGGGAAGTGCTGGGGGCCATGGGAGTGTATGCTGGCAAGGAGCACATCATCTGTGGGGAGCCCAGGGAGCTCCTCACCAAAGTCTGGGTGCAGGAAGGGTACCTGGAGTACCAGCGGGTGCCTGGCAGCGACCCTGCCCGCTACGAGTTCCTGTGGGGTCCCAGGGCCCACGCCGAAACCAGCGAGATGCAAGTGTTGGAGTATTTGCTCTGGGTCAATCGCAGGCAGCCCAGTTCCTCCCTGATCCTGTCTGAAGGAGCTGTGAGCGATGAGGGAGAGGGGGCCTGAGTCCCAGTGGTGGCCAGGGCCTTTCCAGGCTTTGGCAGGGTCGGCCGCTTCTCCTGCGGGGTGCTGGGCATGAAGTGAGGCCACATTTTGGTTCTTCCCTGTGTATGTGAAGAGAGAGCCCTGGGAGTTCTAAGTAGGGTAGGGCCAGGGAGGGTTGGGGGAAGAAAGCAGGGTGAAGAGCCAGCCTCTCTGGGGGCCTGTTCTCTGCAATGACTCTGACATCCAGAGCTTGGTTTTCTTGAGGAAGCTCTCAAATGTTGTTCCTTGGAATAGAAGTTTTAACCAGGTTCGGCAGCTAAGTGTGGGCGTGACATCCACCCCACAGCATTTGTACTTACTCAGTTCAAGAGTTTTAAGAGTTTTGTCATGTTCTGGAAATAAGGTGGGAGATCTTCCCTCCTTGTTTGGGTTCTGGAATAAAATCACAGGGCATTGGCATAGGAATTTGTTGGAAAGGTGAAAGAATGGAGCAGTCAAGTGACGGGGTCAGGAAATAGGGAAATAAAAGATTGTTCATTTTTGCTTCTTACTCCTCGTCTGTCATTCTGCAAAAGTAACATAGATATGTGCTCCTTCCTTGCCTTGGTTCTTCAAGAAAGGAGGAGAAACGACATCTCAGCACAGAGGGAGCCCTGCTCACTGGCTCCTTGATTCCCAGACATGGACAGAGCTCTGCTCTCTGGAAGGCCCTGTGTGTGAACAGTGAGGACATTAGGAGAAGCAGGACACGTCCCACCCTTAGGGGACTGTCTAGCAGCTGCTCTCATGGCAGGAAAGTGGAGATAGGTGCCCTGAGACCTGCAGAAGAAACGGAAGAAGGGTGAGGGAAGGCTAAAGAGCATCCTACTAAAGAATGAATGGGTCAACCAGGAAATTAAAGAAGAATTAAAAAAATTCATGGAAACCAATG